GCAAAACTGAAACACACTTCCTAGTGTGCAGGCCTTGATGTAATCAAACAATGGAAAATGAGAACAGTTACAGTACAATTTTGCCACTGTAATTACCTCTGATAAACCGCTTCTCCTCATTCCTCTTTTATGTGCAGTGTGTATAGCAACAATAATAAAAGATAAACAAAGACACGATTAACCAATCAACTTGTTTGCAGACCAAGATAGAAAGAAATAGTCAAGGGCTAAAATGTCTTTAAATAATTGATTTCAAGAATCTTCAAACTTAGCATGTAGCATTTAGAGGAGAAAGGCCTCCACCCCACACACCTGTTTGGTTGATGCACAGCGGGCCATCGAAAAACCAGAAAGAAAATGATTTTTAACCAAAATGTGTAAGTCAACAGCACAAGAATAATGTTTTCACAGGGCAGGAGAAAACAAGGGGAACCGATTCTCTGCAGAGCCTAGGATATGATTTCCCAATGAAGCACACTCCCCCCAAAAGACCATCCCCAAAGCATGCACTTCAGGTCCTGGATAATGGCGGGAACACGAAGATTGCTCCTTGGCACTTCCTGTGCGGAAAAGCTGAACAAATCATCTGGAATGCCTCTACCTTGGGTGCGCGTATGTACACCTGTGACTGTGCACACATACTCACCGAGATGCAAATAGTATCCCTAGAAAGGATAATAATTCCCTACACAGTATCATGGCAAAGCATTGAGGATTCACCTGGGTATCGTGTATAATACACACACACACAGAGAGAATTCTGGGTAATCTTAGTCTTATTTTTAGAAAGTTCTTTATATTCTTGTATTGTATGGCATGAACCACATAGTCTAGGCACTACATATAAGAAAAGGAAGCAGAAAATGTGCCGTTATTATAACTGTTGTAGTTGTTGTGCACTGTCTATTCAATTCTACCTCAGAGTGATCATAGAGAACAGAGAACTACCCTCAAAGGGTTCCGAGGCTGAAATCCTGATGAGTCGATCATTAGGTCTTTTCTCCCACATATTTTGTTAATGTCGGTCTTGAAATAACCATCAGCTGTTTTAACACCTACATGCTATGGGTTATGGTAAATTATCTTTGCCCTTAAAAATAGTACATTGGCCAGTTCCTCCCAATCTTTCCTTGTGCCGTCTGTCTGAGTGCCTAGCTTTCAGATACATCCCTGACCTTTGGCTGACATTTTAATGATGGGGAGAGGGAGTAAGGATAGAAGATTTGGGGGAGAGGGAATAGGGATAGAAAAAAGAATATTGTATTGTTTACACCATACTGGCCATTTTTACAGATGTTTTCTTGGGATAATTTATTGCTTATAGTTATTTCTTTCCTTTTCCTTTTTTCCCCCTGATGTACTTTGTTGTACCAGCTTTGGCTGAAAATATTTTGTGTGCGTCCATACTGTAAACCCTTGTAATTTCCTAGAGATTTAGTGTGATGAAGAAGTTCTTTTCATTTTGTTTTCTTTCCCAAGGGTTAGACACGTCAATATTCTAGCTGCTCACTTTCGAGGCCAATGGAAAATGTGCTCCTAAGATTAAATAGACCTGAGTCACACATAAATTCAGTTTACACTGATGTTACATAGTGACACGCATCCTGAATTTCTGATGTGTGCAATACACCTGTTAGAGAACACATTGCTATTGAATGGACACTGACTTGCAATTCACCGGTAGTGAACGAGGACAAAACCCTAAATAGGATTTTCCATGGAGAAACTTAAGGAGCTCTAGGGGCACAGTTGTTGAGCATTTGGCTGCTAACTGGAAGGCTGCTGGTCAAATCCCCTATAGTCACTCTACAAGCAAGATGCGGCAGTTTGCTACCAGGAAAACGACAACTTCAAAACCCTAGGGTCACTATGAGTCAGACTCACACCAATGGCACCCAACAACAGCAGGAATCCTACTTTGCACAGCACATTCATCATCCCAGGGGCTGGTACTTCCAGGGAGGATCAGGTCAGAGTTACGCGGCCACACTTAGAATAAATCTGAGCAACAGATGCAGGCACCTAGGATGTGCCCTTCATTGCACAATAGACCACTTTCCTCCAGTTCCACTTCTCCAAGACATACAGCTTTGTTGCTTTGTTTTCAGTTACTCAATTACTATAAAATTCTACCCCTCTTCTCAGAGTTCCCGGAGTTACATATTCCCAAGTGTAAAACTTCCCTCTCTGCTAATAAGTTGTAAAAAATGATGAGCTTTTAAACCCTATGTCACCTTCAGTTTAAGCAGATGTACCATGTTCATAGATAGTCTGGAGTTCTAGTCAGAGCACTTGTTTTTTTTAACTTTAGATACAGGCATATAAACAATCATGAGTACAAGTAGCATTGCATAGATTGGCAGGAAAAGGTCATCTCAAGTTTGAATCATGTGAAAAAGAAAAGAACAACAACCAAAAAAAAGCCAAAGGAAGAAGAGTACCTACAAGAAATCTAGTCAAATCCTTGAAATGCATCTCAAGTCAACCAAATTGCCCTTGGGTTTACAACTTTTTGTAAGAATATTATAAACAGACTGATAAAGCCTTTTCATAATCAATCAGTATATCTTAGAAAATATTAAAGTCTGGTCCTCAGAGGAGAAAACGAAATTTTGTATACAAAGATTATAATAATTTATTTGACTATTTCTAACATCAACATATAAAACATCTTAATGCAATCAAAATATTGAAGGACAAAAAGCTTTATGTTGTCTGGGGCTTGCTTTAAAATCACATGAGTATATACATGAAGCACAATAAAACCATAACTGGATCATTGAGCAAGCTGGGTAATGGGTACATGGAGTTCGTTATATTATGTCTGAGTTTGCGCTCTCATGCCAACTCACACTGACGTCTTTTACACTAATAAACTGGAGAATATCTGTCTTGAAATTTTCTATTATTAAGAAAACCTTATAATATATACTAATTTGAAATTTCATTTATTTATTAATTATATTCCTGATTGACTTACTTTTTGTAAGCAAGGTACTATGGAAACATAAAAGTTAAAACAAAAACTCTCAATAATTACACTGTTAATCACTTAAATGAAGTAAGTGATATCTCTTTGGGAATAGTATTTATTTGTTTTAAATGACATTTATCGGGACTATGGAATTTTATGTAACATTCTTAGGTTAAAATTTAAAAGCAAGACACAAAATCACATAGAAAGTGATTGCAGCATGTTAAAAAATATATCCTCAGGGGGAAATGGAGAGGAAGGAAATCTATCAAACAGTTATTAATGACTCGGCTTAGATTATAGAAATAATTACGTTAATTTTTCTTCATTTTACTTCTATGTATTTTCCTAAATTATTTTAATGAGCATGTATCATTTTTAAATGAAAACAAATACTTATTCATTAAGGGATAAAAGTGCTCTCCTTTCCATTCACTAAAACAGAGAAACCGCAAACACACAAGCACTGCCCGGATAGTTTACATTTTCATAACTGGAAGTGAAATATACGCACAGGAAAAGAAACTTCAGTACAGATCTTATCTGACCATTGAAGCATAAAGCGCTTTCTGTGTGGGGGCCGGAGAGCGGTGAAGAACTGGCTCCTTTGCAAGCCAGGAAGAGTGTGAAATTCAGACCCTTTATGATGAGCTCAATCTGTGATGAATGCAAAGGGAGCAACACATTAAAGTGACCACATAAGCCTGTCCCATGAGCGCCTGACACTTAGCGTCACTGGAGTTTCTTTTGGCGCGGCATGATACGAAAAGCGGGAGAATGGGGAAGGGAAGGGAGTTTTGAGCCCAAAGGCGGGTGGATTTCATAGGAAAGACTGATATTTTCAGAGAGGGCTAGTTAGAAATAATGCTGCGGCAGTGGATGGGGAGTGTCCCTGTGAGAAAGCTAAGTGCATTACCTCCAAGAGATTATTTCCCCCATTTTATGCATATTCCTATAAAGTGAAGTCAAGGGTAACGTTTACAGGTTTGGATGGATATGATGTTCATGACTAAGCATGCCTGGCTGGAGCCGGGCAGGATACAGTCAGATGCTGGGCAGTCGCCATTGCCACGCTCCCCACTCCTCAGTATGTTTGCCGGGGCATTTCCGTGCAGGCCGACCTCCAGCAATGTAGCTCCCATGCCCCGAGCCGTCTAGAAGGCCACCCTAGTAACTCTTTGGAAATGCTACCTCTAAGAAAAGCACCTTGAGGTCTTTAGACTTCACATTGCTAAAGAGCACTTCCCCTTCCTTCTACGAGTGTGGGCAAGAACAACCATGTCTGATTTTAGGGGTCATCCAAATAAAGTATATGCACTTCAAACTTGAAGAATATCACAGACTACAAATAGTTATTCCTTTTCATTATTAAAAAAAAAAAATGTGTCGGTAGAGATTTTGTTGTCTGGTGTCAGAGAATCCAGGGTTCCACCTGGAAGACAGTTCTACACAATCTCACCGTAATGGCACCTGAGAAGTCCCTGGTTGGGGTAAAACCTTAACTCCCTCAGCTGTTAAGCTAAAGGGTGGAGGTTCTATGTACCAAGGGGGACCCAGAAGACAGCCCTGGTTGGTGATCTACTTCTGAAAAATTAGCCATTGAAAACCCGACGCAGCACAGTTCTATTCGAACACACTCTGGCTCACCATGAAAGAAGTCAACTCCACAGCAACTGGTACACTGGTCCATTCAGGAGTCTTCTTTGGAAATAAATACCTCTGGAAAGCTCTCCCAAACAAGTCCTTTGAATAATCCCACCTCTGTCTAGCAAAGTCATTCCAACATGTTTGTCAAGACCTTTGATAAACAGTTCTTGGAATCATGTTTCATAACCTTGATGGTTTTTGATACGGCAGATATACCCTTCATCACATTTCAAATATGTTCTGCTCAACTGTCTGTACTTGGGATGATGGTCTCTCCACAGTTTGGGGACTGAATAACTTCTGAGGTTAGCAGAAATACTTGACTTCTTGGGATCTCAATAATTTGGACGGTCTTTCAGAGATCACACAAGGTACTTACCAGACAGCAGTATCAGCAGGAGGACCCAGTTAGAGATGACGGAACATTCTGAAATGAAAAGAGCACCATAAATGCAGTGTTTATTTAATTGTATGACAGCCTAGTGATCATAGAAAGCAACCCCTTTTCCTCTCCCTTTGAGACACTGACTTACAACACTTACACAGGGTGCCTCCCTTGGGAAGTGAAAACAGGACTGTGCTCCGAGAAACTGGCTTTTCCAACCCTCTATTTGCCTGTTTACAACCCGGAGGCCTCTAACCAGTCACAACCAGTTGTGAGTGACTGGCTGCGCGTTTCTGCAATTCACTGTAGCTCGTGTTGAGAAAGTTATGCTTTATGGTTAATTATCCATGGTCTGCTTTAAAAAATAAATCAAACCATTGTGAACCACCAGGATTTGCAGCTCCATTTGAACTTCACTGTACTTTTGATTAAACATTTTATAAATAAAAACAAACTGGTTTCTCCTTGTTTTGGGTTGCTTATTCCTTGGGCTCAGGATATAAATATTGCGGCAGTGGTGGGTGCACAAGTTATGGATTATTTACCCGAGTTTCATGAGCTGTGAGTTACTGGCCTTATCATCTTACATGAGTATAATAAATGTATAGATTATATTCCAAGTCCTGAAAGACAAATGGAACAAGTGAACTGGAAATCTTTTAAAACCAAAACCTCTTATGCTAAGTCATAGAGCAACCAAACAACCCCCGAATTAACATTTTAAAAACTTCTACTATGGAATAACAAAATCCTCAAGTATTGTAGAATCCGCATTTTAAAAATTGCTTCCCTAACAAGCAGCGGTCCATCAATAATTCCATATGCCTTTATTTTCACCTGCTTTTATAATTTAGAATCCACAAGTGGTTTCCCCAGCGATCCGCCCCCACTCTCACCTTCATCACCAGAATGAAATCTTGAAAATGAATACCATGACTAATTTACACGAAAATTGATTTAGAAAGGTCAGGAATTACTCTACTACATCAAGGTAGAAAAACCCTACCTAAAAGTTTTTATAAAGTTTGTATATGGCCACCATTAGAGGACTTTTATAAATCAAGTAAATCTTAATAATTGTTTGGGGAAAAAAGACAAAGGCCAGGATTTCAAAGAACCCAGTGGCATAGTGCTGAGAAGTATGTTAGAAATACATATGAATATGCATGTGAAACTTTTGCATATGGAACTTCCCAAAACAGTTTGCCCCTAATTATGTTTTTCAAGGATCTAATGAGCTGTGGAGCATTGGCCACTAAAAAGAATCTCTAAGAAAGATATGGGGTCCTGGGTGATGCGAGCAATTAATACACTTAGCTGCTAACTTAAAGGTTAGAGCTTCAAATCCACCTAGAGGTGCCTTGGAAGCCTGGTCTGTCTCTGGTAGGCCACTTCCCCAAACTTCAGTCCCTATATTGGGTTGCTATGAGTTGGAATTGACTATGACAGCCAGCTGTTGGTCGGTCAGAAAAGATGTCCAGCTGCCTAATAGAATGTGCTACTTTTTATAAAGACAGAGGAGTTAAGGCAACAAGGGTTTTCCTGTAAAATGAGAGATCTGTCCGTTGCTGGAACTTGAAAGCTCTGTATCAGATTCAATCTTACCCTTGACTACTTTGCATGGCGTGCTGGTTACCTGCCTAAGCATAAGTCCCCAGCAGGTTCCTCCATAAGTCATTCAAACCTGGGAACGTTCTTATGCAGTGGCTGCTAGGGACCTGTACAAACAGAATGATCTTGCTTTAAGCAGAGGCTGAAGTTCTTGCTGCAACAGTTAAAATACCTCTTATTACTGCCAAAAGAGAGCAAAAGCAAATTAAAAGAGCTGTAAAGGACTTCTGAAAAAATCAGAAAAGATTTAAAAACTTTCCTTAACTTCTTGCGTGGCCCTTGGAGTAGAAAGGCTAGGTCTGCCAGCCCTTCCTGATTCTGGATCCCGCACTTTTACGTTGTCAGGTGCCACTATGTCGGCTTCCACACGTAGTGACCCATCTACTTACAGCAGAGCCAAACAGCGCCTGGTCTCAGTCCATGCTCACAGTTGCTATGCTATGGGGATCTCACATTACCAAGAAAAGTTAGCAGTTGTCTGTGCTCTAAGGGCTGTGATTGCAACAGAAAATGAGGGCAGAGCAGAATCAGTTGGTAAACATTGAACAATGAATGGTCAATCATGTCATCTATGTGTGAAAGTGTAAAAACCCATCCAAGGGAAGTGAAAGGGATTCTGAAAAGGCAAGCAAGGAAAAAAATTCTCTCCACTTCTTTTATGACCAGACCTATGCAATGTGGCTTTTTAATAGTTCTTTAAGATTGTGAATGAGGTGGGGTAAACACTTGCAGACCATCGAATATTTCCAACAATTTTTGAGAGCCAGGAATATGTTAACCTCCACCACAACAGAGCCCTCACTTTTCTTTTCAATCCAGGCAGCCGACTTAAAAGTGAGGATATTAAAAATGCTTTCCAGTACGTAGAAGTAGGCACTACAATTTAGTACTTGGTTATCATGATTGTGTTACAATTATCTCAAAAAACAAAACGAAACAAAACTCACCACCATCAAGTTAATTCTAACTCATAGTGAACCCACAGGAAAGAGTAGAACTGCCCTTATAGTTGCCCTGCCTGTCAATATTGAAGGAAGTAGGAAACCTCATCTTTCTTCCAATGAGCGACTGGTGCTTTTGAACTCATGAGGTTGTGGTTACCAGCCTGATGAAGAACCAACCCTGCCATCAGTATGGATTCCAGCAGAATTCAATTCAGTGAAAACTTAATCGGGTACATTCACCAAAAAAGTGCACGTATAAACCCAACCCTGCTGTAACAGATATAAAGGTGTACTTAGAAAACATGGATGGGATGCACTGGTTAAAGACTAGAACGTTCTGATGAATCCTCATGATTTTTCTACAAATGCGTGTGTCTGAGCCATAAATCATATTAAGGGAAAATGCTGCAAGGTAATGTATTTAGTGAGTGGCGAAACAGGGAGGGTAGAGGGAGAGTGGGTAGGAAAGACGGAACCGATTACAAGGAAGTATATGTGATGTGTGTATGGATTGTGATAAGAGTTGTATGAGCCCCTAATAAAATGATTTAAAAATATATATTTTTTTTATATATTTCTCTTATTTATAAAACACTATAGATATAATCAACATTGGTGTACAGAGTTATAGTAATTCCAATAATCTTGATCACCCATTCAGGCAATTAAAGCAGAGAAACCAGGCAAAACTCTCCTGGCTTTGGTTTCTATCTGTAAGTATCGACTTTTTCCAAACAGAAGGAATCTTGACTTGCGATAGCTAACATGTAAGAGTAAAGTTACACAAGTTATATAATAACCTGAAAAATTTTAAAAATCAAAGGAAAACAAACCTTGCTTCCTAGCTTCAGTGAAATTGAATGAGGCAATTTCATGTTTGTGACATCCAGAAGTAAAGTTGAACTTAAAAGAATCATGCTGATGCAAAATACAAGGGGTGAAGTCCCTCCACAGTTCCTACTCATATATCAATAACGGAAGCCCTCGTCTCTCCTATCTGTGTGCACCCTTACCATCAACCAGGGCTGCCAACACAACCACCTTCCACCTCTCCACATAGTGATCTTACCGTCCTACAGGAACACCCACAAGATCCAGAGCTGTGCTTCCAAATCCATTTTTTAACTAAGTGAGAAGGAGAAACTACACGGAAAGAATGAAACAGCTGATCAAAGGCCCTGCATCCTTGCTTATCTGATAAATGCCTGGTTCCTGAAGGACATCAACACAGGCCGTAAAGTAAAGCAAAATATTATCATAGGAAGGAAGGGCCGTTAACCAGCTTCTGGATCTCCTCAGTCTCCTCCCACTAATGCTGGCAAAGCAATGGCTCCTGGCTGGGGAGGTGTGAGAGGAGTGCAAAACGCGAGGGGAGAGACGGGCTTTTACCATCTCTGTGAAACTCGAAGAAAGGCAGTACAGCAAGTCCAAAAGGTGTTCCACGAGTAACCAAGTTAGAAAGGAGCATTCCAGAAAGTACACATTCTGAAGTAGAACTGTTTTGTTCTTAGGAGCTCTAGTCTATAGGGAATCCGAATGAAGTGTCTGCACGCTGCACTCTACCCTCTATCCATTTCCCCTTTCACTCAGGTTTTGTGCTTTGAATGGCCTTCATCAAGGGGTGGGGGTGGAAGGAGCTTTCCACACCTAACTCTCAATGTGAAAATCAAGAAGACAGGGCTTACATAACTGGCTTTTTATATAAATCAATATTACACCAGGATACATTTCAAATGAACACACACACACACACACACCCTTACCCTCTTTCTATTTTAAAATTATATGTTGTCATTTTCCGTAACATAATTATAAATGAAGTCAGGATTAAACACCTCAGAATTAGTTTAGTTTGATATTCCCTGGAAAATTCACCACCTCATGGAAGGTCACAAAGTCCTGTCTGAGAGTCAGTCAAGGCACCAACGATTATGGGATGTTTGGCTGCAGGCTAGGACAACTACAAATGCCCTGGATGTTAACTAACTCCCTTCTAAGCATTCTGCTAAAAAGGGGGAAAAAACTGTAAGTTTCCCCATCTGTTATTTCCTTTTGGCTGTAGAAAAGTAAAATTATGCAAGAGCTTTTGAATGTAAAGACTGTGTGTGCTTTTTCCCTTTTTGTCTCTGTGTACTGGGTATGTGATGTTGTGTAACTGAGCACAGAGTAGGCGGTTAGCGTTTACTATCGATTTACACTATGTCATCTAATGAATGTAGAACACTAAAGTGAAAAGAGCAGGAGGGGGAGGTGGAAAAAAAGGGAGGAAAAAGGGAGAAAGGAAGGGGAGGAAGAAAGAGCTTACCTGGAGAAACAATGCTAATGCCTGGGATAGCTTCATTCTTATTCCCTCTAGCTCTGACTTAGTTATTGTTCTGGTTTTAGAAAAATGGTCTTGAGCTGGTGACCCCCATATTCCAATCCCATCTCTAATGAGGCTTACTGGCAGGTGAACGTCTGAAAGTACTAATGTGTCAAATTACTTGAAAACAATTCCACTAAACTGTCAGGCTTCACCATATGCACCTATTTATCATTCTCTATGCATTGGTGCACCTGTATCTGTGACAGCCAATGCTATGGTCCAGCTAGTTTACCTAGCCCCAAATATTATCTGAAAGGCACACAGAGATAGCAGCATGTTTAAGAAAAATACATGTATATTGTATTTTATCCATCTCCCTTAGAAATGCCTAAGAAGGTATTTATAAATCTTATAATGAATTTCTTTGGGGAAATAAGGGTTGCAAATTATTAGGCTGAACAGCACAGCCTAACATAAAATAATAACAGATAAATGGACAAAATGAGGAAGCATCCTAAAATGAAGAACATTTGTAAGAGAGATTTGAATAATATCTTGCATCTGTAGTTAAAATTTAACTTCTGATAAGAATAAATATATCTATCCCCAATCCCACGAGACTACAATATGCTCCCCAGGCCATACAGTGGTGTCCCTGAGAGCCCAGCTTTCTGTCAGGGTAATGTTGATCCACTGGACCTTCCTGTAGCTGAGTCTCCACTTAAGCATGAGAAAAAGCATTAAGGTGAGAAAGAGCCAGCTAGAGAGTGAGGTAGAGAAATGCATTTCTGTAGTGAATGTGTGGTTTGCAGATGACAACTGGAACAAATTATAGGAAATCATCCAAAGGAGACAACAAGGGGCTGGGAATTCCTTTCTGATCATCCACAGATTTTTAGCATTTCACCCAATTAAGCCTGTTACATTTCTTAGGGCTATCAAGTCAAAGCAACCCTAGCTATGGACAACAGGTCCAGAGCTATTTTCACAACAGTTGCTGAGCTTCGGCTAATTGTTGCAGCTACTGTATAAAGCTATCACATTGAAGGGCTTCTCTTTTTCAGTGACCCTCTACTTTACTAAGTATACTATGCTAATAACATGCCCAAAGTGTAAGTCCTTGCTTTTAAGTAGTATTCTGGCCGTACTTATCCCAATCCAGATTTGTTTGTTTGCTTGTATATCCAACAGTCTTTGCCAACACCATAATGCAAACGAATCAATTCTTTTTGCCCTTCACATTTAGTGCCCAGCTTTTGCATGCATTTGAAAATACTAAGGCTAGAGTCCTTAGTCCTCAAAGTGACAAAGTGAGAACCTTACATTTTAAAGTGGTCTTTGTGTAGTAGATTAACTCAGAGCCAAACATCATTTGACTTCTTAGCTGTTATTTCCATGGGTGTTGATTGTGAAGTCAACTAAAATAACAACTTCAACATACGCTCTCCATTTATCCTCAGCTGTTAGTGGTCCAGTTGTGAAGATTTTTATCTTCTGCATGTTGAGTTATAATCCACATTGAAGGCTTTGATCTTCATTTTCAGGTGGTAATGTTGTGGTATCTGCCTTTAACTAGTGGACAGTGAATCTTCCTCTAATACGGATTCCAAATTCTTCTTCAGAAAGTCCAGCTTCATAGATCATTTGTTCTGTATACAGGTTGAATAAGTCAGTGAATAGCTACAGCCTGGAAACACACCTTTTCTGACTTTCAATCATGTAGTATTCCCTTATTCTGTTCATAGACCACCTCAGTCAATACAAAGGCTCAATAAGAGTACAAAGAAGTAATCTGGAATTCCCATTATCCATCTCCATCAGCAATGATATCCCTTGTTCCAAGTCCTATGCTAAATCTGACTTGAATAGTTGGCAGTTCTCTGTTGATGGACTACAGTAATTTTTAAAAAATTCTCTTCCACAATGTTTTACTTGCATGTGATATTAATGATATTGTTTAATAATTTCTGCATTCTCTTGGATGCATCATTTGGACTGGCCACAAACTTGGATCTCTGCCACTCAGTTGGCCAGCTAAATGTCTTTCAAATTTCTTGGCATACACTAGTAAGTGCTGCCAGTGCTGCTATCATTTGGTTGGGATATTTCAATCAGCAGTCCATCAATTCCTAAAGAATTGTTTTTCAACAACACCTTCAATGTAGCTTTGACTTCTTATTCCAATACCCTTTTTGTTAATACCTACCAATTATTTGTGGTAGTACCTCTTCCTTCCCAAGAGTGTTACTGGTATGTGTGTTTGTACTGTGGACAAGATAAAAAAGGAATGATGCCACAATGAATGTGTATAAAATTTATGTGTGGTGCTTCAGCAGAAATGTATTATTTTTTTCAGAACAAATATCCTTAGAGCTAGCGATAACAATAAAAGTCTAATTTGTAAGTCCAGCTAACATGTATCAATGTACCTACATGGCTAAAATTTTACTTGACCGTACTTTGCGAATCTTCTGTTCTGCTCCTCAGGTTAGAGCTGCTATTAACGTACGGTTATGATGCTGTGGGCAACCAATCACTTCACTTCATCTGCATGTGACAAGCACACACGATTTCTTGCTGAGGTCAGAGTTTTTATAGTTTTTGTTTCCGTGAAATTTTCAGGTGTTCTCACTACAATATAGTGTGGTATTGAGTATTTGCGAACCTATATCATTGGCTTTTTTCTTTAGAATAAAATACTAATTAAAGGAAAAGAAAATTAAATATTTAAAAAGCTCAGTTATTAATAATGCCTTAGCTAATAATGTTGTAATTCAATGTAGAGAGAGTTTATGAATTTTGGTGTTAGTATTAACATAACCCAAGAAATATTATTTAACCCACATACAACTATTTTTTATCACATACTAGTCTATGATTAAAATTGATACTAAACATTACTCAGGGTTCTTAATGGTCTAGTACTTAATGGTTCATGGGGGCCTTGACATCATGGGTTACTAATGGATAATATCTACCCTGGTGACATCAATGTTCCTTTCACCGTCTTTTGCTATTTCCTGCATTATTCAATATTTCCCCCATAGTATCCTTTAATATGTACTGGAACTCAAGGCTGGAAGTTTTTCTTCAATTCTCTCAACTTGAGAAATATTTGAGTATGTACTTCCCTTTTGGTTTCTAACTGAAGTTCTTTGCACCTTTCATTATAGCACTTTACTTTGTTTTCTCAAGACACTTTTTAAATCTTCTGTTCAGCTTTTTCACTCCATCACTTCTTCCATTCACTTTAGCTACTTGATGCGCAAGAACAAGTTTCAGAGTCTCTACTGACAACGATTTTGTTCTTTTATTTCTTTCCTTTTTCCTGGCTGTTTTCTTTCATCATGCATAATGTCCCTGATGTCATCTCACAACGTGCTTGCTCTTCAGTCATTAGTGTTCAATGCAGTCAATCTGTTTTACCTTGAGAAGATTAAATAGGCACTCACCTTATCCGTTTCCTCCCCCGGGATGCTTTAAGAGATAGATGGCTGTATACACCTAGCAAAGTGCTTGGCGTGCTCCTTATGCTCTGTAAATGATCGGCAAACAGCAGAACGTGGCAAAAACTATTTTAAAAGAATACTTGAACGGCTTCAGAAAAAATATACTATTTCTTCCCTCTATTTTTAGGCTCTCTCCTTTATCTACAAAAAATAATGATGTAAGGGAAATATCTGGCAGTTATTTGGGGTCAGTTGGCTTCAGTTCCACATTATTAGAAAAAAGCTTAACAAAAATTATAATATTGATAAAATCAGAAAAGTTTTATGTTCATTTCCACCAGCCTTTTGAACTATTTTTCATTTTAGTCATGGGTACAGAAAAGTCCATTTGAATTCCCACGGACACATTCTAAAGGAAAAGTCATGGGATATCAACATAATTCATCTTTTAAAAATATTGAGCAGAATGTAACCATTTAGTAATGGGAGAAAGATGGTATTTTTTTTCCTTGAAGGGCAAGTCAGGTTGAGTTTTGATTAGGTTATGCAAATTTATATTAATAGAAGGGCAACCAAGAATGTTCTGATTTCCATTGACTTAGTTAAATAGAAGTTTCATGAGAGAAAAATAAATTCTGGAATAGAATGTCAGAAATGCCATATTTTAGTTAATTGGAGAATGAGACCTTTAGAGAAAGAATTGCAACTACAATCTTTCAAAAATTTCCGTTGAAGAGTCAATCAAAAGCACGTTGGGTAGTGGTGACCATATTACTTGGAAGGTAATCACATGCGTTGGACCTGTTGTCAGGAGAGACCAGTCCATGGAGAGAAATATCGTGCTTGGTAAATGGGAGGGGCAGAGAAAAAGGAGAAGACATTTGACAAGACGGAATGACACCGTGGCTGCACAGATGGGCACAAACATAAGAGCAAAGGTGAGGATGGCCCGGGACGACTGCGCAGTGTTTCCTTCTGTTGTGCACAGGGCTGCTATGAGTTGGAACTGACTCAAAGGCCTGAAGACTCTGGCAGCAATGCCCCTGCTATTCAGAGACCCTTCTCATGTCCAAGTTCTCCTTTAATCTTTTCAGACTTTAGTATGAAACACATTCTGACTTTCACGCTTCTGTAACTGAGAGAGTGTGGCCATTAGCATTATGCCATTACATTTCTCTGGAGCCTCTTCTACAGGATGATCTGCTTCAAAATATCTTCTTTGTGAAATGGAGATCATTCTCAAAATATGTTATTTGTGAAGTGAACCTCATGAGGGCTTGCTGTCTGCCATTGACTAATTATTTGTAACGTCAGGCCCAAAGGCTGTCCGTTCAAACTCATTCAGTAGTAGCAGGAAAGACAAGGCCTGGCAACCAGCTTCCACTAAGGTTACAGACAAGGAGCCCCATTCTTCATTGATGAAGATACAGCAGTCTACAGAGAGAGTGTCAACATGCTATCAGGAAGCCTATCAATATTGTTTACCCTTTGTTTGTTATTGCAGGTCTTCAAATATATATCTATACACCAAAGACTTATTTATTGTATCCCCACTCTTTTTTCAGTTTGCTGCACTGTCATTAGATCTGTGTTGATATGTTGCTGGAAGCTATGCCATTAATACTGTCCAATACCAGAGAGCATCATCCCTGGCGAACAAGTTTCAGCAGAGTTTCCATACTGAGAACAGACTAGGAAGAAGGAAGGGGTGGTCCACTTCTGAGATACTAGCCACAGAAAACCTTATGAAAAACGGTAAAACACTGTCTGTCAAAGTGTCAGAAACTGAGTGCCCATAATTTAGAAAGCACTCAAAATATGACTGGAAAAGACTACCTCCTCAAAGCAGAGTCAGTCTCTTTTTTTTTAATCAGTTTATTGGGGCCTCTTACAGCTCTTATGACATTCCATACATCAATTGTATGAAGCGTATTTGTACATAGGTTGCCATCATCATTTCCAAAACATTTTCTATTTGAGCCCTTGGTATAAGCTCCTCTTCCCCCCCCCCCACCCTTGTGAATCCTCGATCAATTATATATAGTTATTATTTCATATCTTATACTGTCCGTTGTCTCCCTTCACCGACATTTCTGTTATTAATCCTCTTCTGGTGGGGTTGGGGGCTATATATCCAACCTTGTAATGGGTTCCCCCTTTTTCTCCCCCTCCACCCCCTAACCTCATGATATCACTACTCCCACTACTGTTCCAAAGGGGTTTATATGTCCTGAATTCTCTGTGTAGAGAGCTCTTCTCTGTACAAATGTGTGTTCTCTGGTCTAGCAAGATTTGTAGGGTAGAACTGAGTCATGGTAGTGGGGGTGGGGTGGGGAAGCATTAAGGAACTAGAGGAAGATGTGTGATTCGTTGGTGCTAAACGACACCTTGGTTGAATCATCCCTTCCTTATAACCCTTCCATGAGGGGATATCCAATTGTCCACAGATGGGCTTTGGTCTCTACTACAACTCCCACTTGTTTGCATTGATATAGTTGTTTGTCTTGGATCTTTCGATACCTGAGACCTGATCCAGTGGACACCTCATGATCACACAGGCTGGCATGCTTCTTCCATGGGGGTCTATTTGCTTCCCTGCCAGATGGCTGCTTGTTTAACCTCAAGCCTTTAAGACAGCAGGCGCTGTATCTTTTGATAGCCGGCACTATCCGCTCCCTTTACCACATTTGTCTATGCACCCATTTTGTCTTCGGCGATCATGTCGGGAAGGTGAGTATCAAAGAGAAGCACAGTCAATCTTAATGACACAGGAGGAGCAAAAACTTTGTGGACTTTCAATTGGTAAAGGAAACTATTTAAAATGAGAAGAAACAGCTGCAAGCATTCACCAATAATCAGAAGATAGACTGTGCTGATTCATACTGAAGTATAAATCTAGGAAAATTAGAAGTCAACAAAAATGAAATAGAATGCATAAAGTTAGTGCAGCCTGAGTGAGCTGAAATGACCTGATACTGGCCATTTTGAATCAGACAAATTGAAAGGAAAATTTGAAGATAAATGACACTGCATTCATCATCAAAAAGACCATTTAAAGATCTATGTTGAAGTATAATACTTTTTGTGGTAGGATAGTATCAATATGCCTACAAAGAAGACACGCTACTATAAATAGTATTCAAATTTGTGAAGGAACCACTAAACCCAGTTATGAAAATATTGAATTGTACAAGCTTCTTCAGGCTGACATTGATCAAACCTGCATGCAATCAAAGTGCATTGGACTGTGAAAGGTGGAAACAAAGCTGAAGAAACCAAAACTCCAAACTCATGACCAGCAAGTCGATGCGCACTCATAGCGGCCCTAGAAGACAGGTTGAACTGCCCCTGGGAATTTCCGAGACTGCAACTCTTAGCAGGCACAGAAAGCCCCATCTTTCTCTCGTGGTTTCGAACTGCTGACTTTGAAGTTAGCAGCCCAACATATAACCACTACACTACCAGAAAAAGTTCTCTGAATAGTAAGGACAATGCTGCCAGAGTCACTGTAATTAACATTGTGTCGGTGGTGTTTCCATTATAAATCTTACTCTTATGGGGTTTAGAATTCAGCAAAATGATTGGTTCCAGGATGAAATACAACATCAAATATCTTGGAGTTGGAGGGCGGTTGATCCCCCTGCTTTATTTCTTAGAAATGAAAACATAAGCACTCTCCAGACATTTCAGTAATTTTGTACTCTGACTCTACAACTTTCCCTTAAAAGGGTAGATGTTAACGATGAGTTAAATTTAAAGTGAGCTAAGTTAAGTAACCCCCACTATTGATTGAAGGATATGAAATTGATATATGATCCTCTTAATGAGGTGCTACTATTTTAAAAGCTCTGCTGAATGAAAAGACTATAGTCTTCCACCTAAAGAAAATGAAAACTCTTCACCGCTAAACAAAAGTCTCCAAAATCATGGTAAACAGGTATGCCGGAAGCACAGTCAGAATGCTTCCCAGAAGGAAGGACAGCGAGACTTTTTATTACGTACTTTCGTCCTGTCAGCAGGAAGGGTGCGGCTGTAGAGAAGGACTTCATGCTTGGTAGAGGAGGGGGTCAGCAAAAAACAGAAAGATCCTCAAAGTGCTGTATTTAGACAGTGGCTACACCAATGGGCTGGCGCATAGCAATGATTACAAGAATGGTTCAGAACTGGGCAGTGTTTATATCTGTTGTACATAGGGCCACCACAAATTGGAATTGACTTCAGTGCCCCCAACAACATGTGCATAACACAGATACATACGAGGGAGTACCCCCCCAAATGGAATTGAAGTGGGTGGAGAGGAGCTTTGGTACCAAGCATTTTCTCCCCCCTAGGCGAGCATCCAGCAACTCACTCTGAGTAACTGCACTCAGTGGTGTCACCTGGGAAGGTTCTCTCTGGTCACTGGATCTTTTCTTAATAGCAGTTTTGCTCCAATCTCGCTTTTTGTGATGGGCGATTTAAGAGAACAGCATGCGACTACAATTTTGCTTCCTACTCAAATAAATGCCACAGAAACTGTTGTGATGTTGAACCCAGTTTACAAGGCCCGCGCTATGGGCAAAACCGCGTGTATGAGTGGTTTTCTCATTTCAAAGAAGGCATAATGTCTGTGCATGACAAACCTCGTTTTGGACATCCATCAACTTCCCAAATGGACGAAAATGCCAACTCGTAGTGCACTTGGAGTTCATTCCACCAGGTCAGAGTGTTAATCAAGCTTTCCATTTAGAGATTCTGAAAAGATTGCTTAACAGTGTGTGACAAAAAAGGCCTGATTTGTGGCAGACGGGGCCTCGTTTTGCCTCCACGACAATGCACCTGATCACGCAGCAATCCCAGTGTGCTGATTTTGGCAAAAAAACAAAAAAACCACCCAGCATGCCTCTTGCCCCATGCCCCTTCCTCACCTGACCTCACTCGGTGTGACTTTTGTTTCCTCGAACACAGAGGGACATGAGGACAGAGATCTGACGACATAGGAAGTGAAGGACAAAGATGGGGAAGGTGCTGCCAGCCATCCGAACAGATGACTTCGAAAAATGTTTCCAGGAATGGAATCACCTATTTGACAAATGTACTAAATGTAATGGAGAGTACTTTGAAGATGATAAGGTGGTTTTATGAAAAAATTAAATAAATAAATACAAAACGTTGGGGAAAATATCCTGCTTTCTTAGGGGGTAGTTACCCCCTCGTATTTCATTCGACACCCTTGATGTAAGGGTGTTTCAGCTATACTGTGTTGAAACGTCTTCTATTCCTCTTATTATCTCTTTTCCTCTCTTTTGCAGGAAAAAAAACACAACTTATGATTAGAGGAGGCAGGAACTCCTGATGATTTTCTTAGACGTCCTACCTCACAAGTTGAGTCCCAGTGTGGGAAGCAGATAAGAACCCCCTTTGTTTCTGCTTTCTCTAGCATTGGCTACAATGGCTAATGGCTACAGTATTGAGGAAGATGGAGGAGGAAATCTTGGCTCTACACGTAAACTAATAGACCATAAGGTAGGTGTCATGCATTGCGTGCGTTCTGCGTGCACTCAATATTCTTGGGTGGCATGTTCTTTTCTTTTTCTTTCTTTTTTGGATATTCAAAGGAACCCTGTGAAGTAAGTAGTGTTGGCCTAAATTTTACAGATTTGCAACCTGGTTATAGAGCAGTAAGCTAAACGAAGGGCACAGACTCAGGGATCCTAGATGGGGTTTCTGTCACTGTCAGTCTTTACAGCCAGATACCCTCCCCTGTCTCCTGTGGAGCTAATGAAAACGCCGTGAAGGTGAGGTGTGAATCAGGGTCTCTTTCACAGCAAGGCCGACTTGCTTTATAATCTGCCATAATGCCAGGAGGCAAAAAATGTCTCAGCTCATGATGATAGCCACTTGCACGCTTTAAGAAGTAGGTTAAAAATGGTGAACAAATCCTGAATAGAGACAGGTGTTTGCTTCACTCTTGTCTCTGAATAATCCCTGTGTATTCAAATGCAAATATATAAATGTATATTATGAGAAAAGAGGGGATATCCTTTGTTTTTGGTAAAAGAATATATAATTTCCCAGGAAAGTTTAATTCAGACTATATATTTGAGCATTTATAAAATTCCTTTAAGTATTTGTACTAGATAAAAGTTAAAACATATAATACATGTAAAATCAGATGATTAATACAACATTCAAAAACTTTAATTTCTGTGTGTAAACACTATTGTTTTTCTCCTTGCTAAAATTTCTGGTTATTTCTGCAAAGTACTTTACAAAAGCTAAATGGTAAGTAAATATGTTAAGTTAGGAGAAAGGGAAAGAATCAAAAGGCAAGAAAAAAGAAGATAGTGTTGTGTATATATATATATATATATATATTTGAAAACATAAAGGAGTTACTATGTTAATTTGGCAAATGATTATTTTTCAAAGATCTACTTTTATATGTAGAGATTATTTTGTACGTGGCTATTTTATAAATCAATACTTGTTTAAGAGAATATTAGAGCTTATCAGGAAAATAAAATCTTTGAAGTCTACAGCACTATAGAATTTACCAGTTTTACATTTTGCTATAAGACATTCTTTTAAAATAATTTTTATAGTGAGATGTTCACTCCTTTTTAACATACAAAATGTAATTAAATGTAATCTTTCACAGCTGTATTAGTGTGTGTTATGAGCTAACTACAAAAGATCACCGGGGCATTGCTCTTTGATTCTTTGCATTTTAAAAATTACATTTTGCTGAAGAATTTAATGTCAAAGTGAGTGTAGCCCAACGGAACTAGCAGCTCTTGGTGTCACGAATGCATTCTTCTACTTTTAAGGAGGAATTATTGCTTTGCCTTCCTCTCGTTTTTTCTTCAACTCTTACGTTGGAATGGGAGCAAGACGGAGGCAACCTCAACTCTTGGTTTAGAAAGAGTACAACAAAGAAGAAACATCTTCTGAGCCCTCTTCTCATTCTCCTGTTTGGAAAAGCAATCGGAAACCAAGCAACAGAGAGAGCAACAATATCTTGTACATGCTCCTGGTACTGGGAGAAAACAGCATATACATGGTAGCAAGGGTTTCTTCAAGTTTCAGCTTCTCTGAATGTGCTTACAACAAAATCTAAGGAGACCTGATCTCTGCGTAAGGGAATAAGAGTACATGAGTTTGGGGCAGTAAAGTGGAGGTACTCTTATCAAATAGTATTTAAGTACATGATCGTGACCATGATATAACTTGCAACATTAAATAATAAAATTTACCCAGTTAACCCAAACCAGCTAAAAATAACTCACAGCACCCTCCCCACTTCAACAAAACAAAATATAACAAAAACTCACAACCACTTATTTTGACACAAAAGTAATAGATGAACGCCCAGTGTTCACTCATACAACACACTCTCTAAACATAATTACAAGTGTGTCCACGACAATGACTCAACAATGGTGCCTTGTGCTCCAGGTAATTTTCACTAACAACTTCGGAGGGACATGTGAAAAATAATGTAGAAGGAAACAAACTCATTTGTTCACACCTAGAAATAAGAGAGAGCTGCCAATCACAGCCTCCAGATAGGAGGGATAGAGGTGCCATCTTCCCAGGATCAGAATAGACGTTCTTATCTTATTTGTCATTTTTTGTTGCTGGTAATTTTAGGAAAGGTGACATACAGGTATACTTAAAGCATCACCTTATCTAGCATCCAAAACTTTTATAAATCAAACAATTACAAGTAATAAATCTTAATTGCTCTTCAAAGTTAAAAGAAAGGTTATCGTCTTACCTTACAGTGTTTTTTTCTGACCTGACAATCTCATTCAGCCAATAATTTCAATGTCAGCCTCTGATTTTCAACTCTTTCAGCACAAAGATTTCAGGCAATAAGGAAATGGAGCTGCTCTGCGTGCTTTCACTCTATTTAATGTCTATATTTATATGCTTATGCTTCTATTTAGATCTATATTTATCTGCTTTATCTGCCTACAGTGCATCTGTTTCTCATTCACACAGACATATATTTATATATATACACACATACTGTATATATATATATATATATATATGCTATATATAAACACACATAGCCAAAAAAATGTATGAATGTATGCTAGTGTGCTTACTTCAACAAGCATGAAGGTGCAGAAATACTCAGACACATGATAAATATACGAAGAACATAAATGTGCACGTAAACAGAGACGCACAAGGGAAAGCATATCTGAACAGCCCTGTCGGTGATACTTGGCTGTTGGCCTTTAAGATTCACACATTGTTGAGTGACACAGTCATGCACTGCTCTGGGAAGGAGAGACACTTCTTAAGACAAAACGACATAACTAAATCAACAGAGATCATTTAATGCAACACACTCATTTCACAGAGGAGAAATTGAGACACTGAAAGGCTAATAGCAAAGAATCCATAGCTCTGCAGTGGTTTAGTTGGAAGCAGAATCCCGTTCTGCACCTTCCAGAATCTAGGCCAATGTCCTCCCATTGTGTTGAATGTAAAGGATAAAAACCATCATTCTCAAATTCAGTATCATAATCTGCTAATTGCCACTCTTCTATGTTTCCCTTTCCTTGTATCACGGAAGGCTAAGCAAGTAGCATTCATTACGGTAGGTCAGTTTTCTGAGTATTTAGTCTACAACATTGTTGTTGTAGGTTGTCAAGTCAATTCCGAGGCATTGTGACTCCACAGGACAGAGGAGAATGGCCTCAGAAGGGTACCCGTCTTAGGCTGAAAACTGGAGAGAAGCAGACAGTCAGCACTTTTCTGCTACAGTCACTCTCGGGCTCAAACCACTGACCTATGGGTGCACAGCCTAGTGTTTAGTTGTGTCACCAGGGTTTCATCTCTACAAAGTAGGTCATATTATTCATATCCATTTTACAGATACAAAAATTGAAACTACACAGCAAGTAAACCAAAAATACTGAGTTCTCATGATATTACAAAGTCTGTGCTTTCTCCAGTAAAAATCTATTCATTCCCATTTCACAGATAAGAACTATTGAATGGTATGATATGTAGATGAAGAGCCAATAAAACTATTTAAAAAACTAAAAGTATATATCTGAGGCTTGGTGAGTAACATAATTCACTTGAAACTACATAGAAAGTAAGCAAAATAACTGAGCTTTCATATTTTAAGGTGCATGTTTTCCCCAGTAAAAATTACAATGTCCTCCTTAATAAATACCTGAGTGTCATACTATAGCTACCACCACTATAGACTAAGCACCATTTAAATCTAATTATCTGGTCTGGTTCAGGCTACGTCTGGAGCCTAAAGCAAAGGTTCTCCCAAAGTGAGGGGAAAAATGAAGGGAATTGAACGGGAGATGGTCCAGTATTGCTACATGCAGTCCAGCCCCTCTACTAGGGACCTGAACTATGCAAAATTCAGGCCAAAAAAAATGCCCAAGGGTAGTTTTATGTGATTTAAAGTCTTAATAACTTCTAGTCTGTGAACATTTTATGTCTTTTTCATCAAAAGATTATAGCAAAGAATAATATTAAATCAGATGTGAAATAGGGGAACAAGAATGTGGAGACTAGCAAAAGGGGGAGAGAACCACGCCCACCTCTCCTTCTTCTCCCTTGGGCAACACTTCCCCAAACAATCACACCCACCGAGAAGCACAAAGCCAACACTGAAAAATCATAGCTTAGCCCTCACTCAAGTGCTAATGGAAATTCAGAAAAGAAACTGTCTGCATAGGGTGAGGTAATCTTACAAAAACCTCCTCAGATAGTAACCAGCCACGAGCCATCCCAACATACCAGTTTTACACTTTGTTCAGCTAATACAGAACCAGGAGATGCCATGTGGATTTGTGAAACTCCCTGGGGCACACTGCATCTATAAGCCAAGGAACAGAAATTACACTGATCCATACATGCAGCTCTTCATCTGTGACATATTGATAATTACTCTTCATTTGTGAACTAAATCCAAGATATAAAAAACAAGGCTCAGACATTCATCACAAACAGGGTGGATTTTACTGAACTCTTTCTGAACACCACCTAGCACTATCACCACAGAACACGGGAGCAGTCGTACTCTATGGCCTCGGAAAGATGAACATGAACTTGAGAAAGTTTGGAAGACCTAAGTGCGAATCGCAGGTTTGTCATTGAAATGGCTCTGAGAGCATTGGCACTGATGGGGCTGAAAGGTGAGGACCACCCCAGATAGAAGAGGGGGAGGACACCAAAATGACTGGCTATCAAATCTGTATCCAGTGTTTCAGCAGATATTTTTCAATTTTTATAACTTTATCCCTGTAGTTTAGGTAGAACAGAAAAGTCATTTTTTTCATAAGCCTAGTTTACATGTATCAATATAACTACAAGGCTAAAACCCTATGCAAATTTATTTTGGAATCTTTTAATGCATTTTGGTCTGAGCTGTCGTTATCACCCAATTACAGTGATGCTTCAAATCATGTGGCTTACTCTGCACATGCCTCAAACACATGCTGCTGTTTTCTTTCCTGCCTGAACTTTTAGTTGTTAATTGTGCCAAATTTTCAGATATTTTAGCTATAATATTGTGATAATTACTATTTGCGAATCTATATCAAAAACTTTTTGAGCATGAGGTAGTAATTAAAGAAAAAGGAGGAAAAACGTTTTTAAAAGGTTCAGTTACTGATAATGTTGTAAAATTAATGATGTAATT